CAGCTTTCAGATCAAGAAAAACAACCATTGCTGGTTGCTGGAAGCAGTGTCGCTGTTCCAGAATCTGTCGGAGGGTGAAGATGTGGTCGATGCAACCTCTTGCAAGACGGAACCCAGCTTGGTTTTCACGGATCTGTCTCTCTTTGTGTTCAGTCAACCTTCAAAGGATAAGGCCAGAGAGCACCTTCGATGCCACAGCTAACAGGCTCTCCAAATGCTTCCGTACATAAAGTGGTGTCCGTGAGTTCCGCCCACTCTATCCATTCTCGCTTAATTTCATGATCGACGAGATAATGAGACGAACGCTGGAAGGTCTTCGAAACCCCAGTGTCCAAATGGCCTGACAAAAACCTTGTCGATCTGGAATTTTCAGACAATATCGTCCTCGTTTTTGAAGAGGAAGCGAGGGCGCAGGGTTTTTTGGATGAACTGACCAAACTTATCCCGTCGTTTGGTATGCACTTTGCACCCACAAAGTATAAGGTCATGGTTGTTTTGCGAACAGTGCTGTTTTCGGTGCCCAAATTGGTGTGGTGAAAGCAGAGAGGTGGCCAATACTTGATCTGACAGAGGGGTTTGCCTTTCAGAATTGGAACCGCGTGATCCCCACTGCACCTGGCTGGAGGCGCTGCAAGATATAACTGCTAATTGATGTCAATGGCGTTCGTGGTGTAAGTTTCTATCCAGGTCACCTGGATGAGTGTCTGGAGGTGTAGGTCCCATTCACTTTCATTTTTCTTCACGTTAAGGGCTTCAAGTGAATCATATTTACACGGCTTCCAAGCACCGTTGTTGAACACTGGTGTGGTGAAGGTGATGCTGACGAAGCACCCCCGCATTTTGGATAACATTGAAGTTGGACTAATGGTGATGTAAGATGACGCCTTTTCCGCCAATCTAATGTCAACTGTTCCTGAACCTTCGGCTTCCTGGTTTGACGCCAACCGCCACCTTTGAGGTTTTTGAGTGGATACGTTCAAACCCAGTGACCCTACATTCAGACATACTTAGATGTGGGACACAGGAATAGTCTAATGGCACAGGGTAACACAGCGACCCCACTCCAAATTTCGCAACACAGTAGATGTGTTTTGAGCCGCATAGGGTCCTGGTTTATAAAGGTGTTCCGGCTGTTTTGCCCAATGTGTGGCTGCCAACCACCAGATCGTTGATTTTGCCGATTTTTAGGATCGACTTTTTAAATTTGTGTCTCATTGGGCAGTAGGACCGCTGCTCCCACCTTTCTATCCTCACACTCTTGGGCTACGCACTGTACACCGAGGGTGGTATATATACAGGTTAGTGACACTTCATGCCCTGTCACCTTCTTTGGCCTTAAGTTACCGTTAAGTAAGATTATTATTTTTTGAGCGACCGGCCGGTTCTTCTGCACTAGTCGTCTATCATGTTCTTACTGACTGTGGCAATCTATCCGTTCGTATATTTGAATAGTTTTAGACAGAAAGACGAGTATCGCTCTACCAGACGTTACGTCTTGAAACTTTTTAATCGGGATCAGTATGTTGTATAGGTGTGTAAAATGAACACTAGCTTTTGAATGGAATCGACGCCCCGTTATTCTCGTTGATACCTTTATCCATTGTCTTCTTCCTCGGCGTATCGGTATGGTTGTCAATTTGTCGTTTGTGGTTTTCAGGTCGTCCTACGAAATGCTGTCATCAGGAGGACTTATTCTTTTATGTTTGTTTTAGCCTGTGACTTCAATCGACCCATTCCAGCAAGAACATGCGAAAACTTTTCTTACATACCTTTCGTCGATATGCTGCAACACTTGCGGAATTTAACCAGTGTGCCCCTCGTACTTCAATCACTGCTCACACTGAACAACTGAGAAATATGTCGTCTGTGCTGCACAAATTCGTTTCGTATCCGGTGGGAGATTTCGACCGTTTCATCAGCCCCTTTCTCAAAACCGAATTGGTCGAGGAGTTGGCCACATTTGGGGATTATTCGCTTCTCTTACGTCGACCTAGTTTAAGTATAGTGAAGGATTTACTGCGTATTCGCGAGCTTCAAACGCAGCCGTCGGGTGACACTTCGGTTTCAGGTGATCTCAACCTTCAGAGTCACGCGGTTCCTCGGTTTGTTACCTACGGACAACCGGGGACTGGTATTTCGGTGACCTTGGCGCAAATTTCACACTTTGCTGCTACAAATAATTGGCTCGTCTTTCCCTTTCCGGATGCTGAGAGATGGCTGTATCGATGTGTTGATTTGACTCCCAGCAACGAATATCACCAGGATCAGCATAAGCCGAATTTAGTCGGTGATGCTTTTGATTACCCTAGTAGATCAGCTAACTGGCTCCAAGGTTTTGTGAAGATGAATGAAGGTTTCCTCGAAAAGGTAGGACTTCTGTCGACACGAACATTACTTAGCTGTTGGTTGTTGTATCACAGACGTTTCGTCACCAATCATGTTGAGTGGTTTCGAGTGGGTAACTTCCTCTTCTGCATGTGCTTTTGAATTACCTACACTGTATCTAATGGCTCCGGCATGGTTTGTCGCGAGGTGGTTTTCGCGCAACTTAATTGTTTAACGTGGAGTCTGAGTTGCTGTGTGGTCTTAGTTATTTGCATCTGATTGGTTCATTTGATTGTTTAATGTCCTATTCCTCCGTTGTTATTGGTCAATACCCTTCTTGCTTGTCGTACGGTTTCCCTCTACTCGATTGGTTGTATGAATAACCTGATTTTAGTAGTTTTTTTCATTTTAAGAGAGCTATGGAAGCGGATAAAACATTCCACCAGTAGATTTAAAAAATTCAGTACACAATGAAGAACAATTTTTGGAAAAAAAACTAAGGAACGTGAAGATCGAGGAAGTTGAGCTGCTGGTGTCTTTCGACGTAACTCCATTGTTCACATCCGTTGATTTAAATGCGGCATGGATGACGGCTGCTGAAGTTTGAACAGTCGGGAAACCCAAAGGCGAGCGCGTGTGAGGGGAGAAATCTACGAACCGGTGCGCTTGGCAGCGGCTAACTGCAAATCGAAGTATATGTGAGATAGACGCACACGGATCAGGTTTTGAGCTACTTTAGCAACCATCCAAACTGCCACAAACGAAGTTGCGTTTGAACAGTCCTCCAGCGGATCGAGACGGAATGTCATAACATCAAAACCAGACTACCTTGTCGGCACGCTTCCGTATATAAAAGAATCGCTGAGATGACCGCAATACGTTTGCGACAACATGGAATAACACTCGCCTCCAAGCTTCTAAAAATAGGATCAGGTTTGAGCTACTTTAGCAACCATCCAAACTGCCACAAACGAAGTTGCGTTTGAACAGTACTCCAGCGGATCGAGACGGAATGTCATAACATCAAAACCAGACTACCTTGTCGGCACGCTTCCGTATATAAAAGAATCGCTGAGATGACCGCAATACGTTTGCGACAACATGGAATAACAATCGCCTCCAAGCTTCTAAAAATATTCAAGAGAACCCTGCAGAAATCAAAAGGAAGAGTGGATGCGATCTACAAAATTTATTGTAGCGACTGGGGTAAACACTGTGTTGTTCAGGTTAGGAGAAAATTTGTCACCACAATACGTGAACACAATTCTGCCAGCACAAGGCATAACTCAATATCACCTGTTTCAGTTCGCAATAACAGAAGAGGTCATTAGTCCGATTTGGACAATGTCCAAATACTTGCTGATGTAAGGGCAAAATGGAGACGGGCGCTTAATACTTCGCGGAGTAGTCAATCAATAAGTAGCTCAACGTCGACCGAGGTTATCAGCCACTAAGAACAAAAGAACTGCAAATCCATTGGACTCTAAACCACCTGAGGAGTAAAAATCTAACAATAAGCAGCAAACCGATCAGTTGGGACATAAAACTAAGAAAAATAACAGGTTATCTAATCAACCAATTGAGCTGAAGGAAGCTGCACCACAACGCAGGAAACGAACGGACCGGTTGGAACGGGGTAACAGAAACTTCGAATTGAAGACATTGGATCAATCAACTAGATGCAGAGTAATAAGACTACGTCGCAACTCAGATTCCAAGTTGACTAATCAGACTATCCGAAAACCATCTGGGGATCAGCCAATAATAATAATAAGTACTCAGGAACTCGAGATGGCTCAATGGTCAAGGCCTGAACTTACCGTGGTTCCAACAAACCCAGCAACCCGACTGCTGCTGTCTAGGCTTGAGCAACGTAGCAGTATCTCATCCCTCATGCTTCGCTCAGGTGGCGTAACTGCTAGGCCCCGGAAGGACGTTACATCTAACCGACTGTTATTATCTTTTCTTATTGGATACTCTTTAGAAAGCACATAAGCACATGCAGGAGGTGAAGAATTTAGCCATTAAATCCTGAACTGACGCTGTGACCTCGATTGGTGACGAAGCGTTTGAAATCCAACTACCTTTCTCGACGAATACACTAACAACCAACCATCGCCCCCCGAGCTACCTATATTTTCACATTTCCAACGAATATTTCTTTTTATTGGTTCAAGTATAAACCTCTAACGACGCGAGATGTTCACTGGACACGTGTGGATTCAACACCAGCTGGCACCCCATGGGCTGAACTCATCAAATTCTGTATCGCAAGGACAAAGTATTCCACTGACTGCATCGGGATTCTTCTGCGTGAGGTGAGTGCACAGTTTGCTGGAATGCATACAGTGTTGTATCTCTTGGTATTTGGAATACTTTTTCCATGGTTAGCTAGGGTCCGATTCCGTTTCGCGATACCAAAGCCACTCTCACTCAATTATTATCTTGAGTTTCATTTTTCAACCTGAATTTCTGCAGCTAGTTTCATTGATAATTTCTAACCCGTTGTGAGGTGGCCAACTATTTTCCATCCATCATAAAGCCTCTCAATCCATACAGATAGGTCGGTTTCTGTTTTAAGGTGATTATAGTTAATGTACTCCATGTTCAATTCGTTCGAGTTGTTGGCCACTGGACAGAAGTCTTTCCTCCTGAGAATCGGACGTTTCTGATCCTCTAGCTAACTGTTCATTGTCAAGACAAACGTGAGTGCGCCGTGCCCATTCATTTCGAGGAACTGAAGATAACCAATTCAGTAGTTTTGATGAGTTGACAACAGAATCGCATTTTTAGGCTTCATTTGTTCACCCAGGTTAGAAGAAATCCACTCTTGCATGAGTGCGTAGCTTATCAGAGTTCGGATACTCAAGAGAGCATAATTTCTTTTGGTGAAGGTTTCGTCCTGTAAGTGAAGCCGGTCTATGCTGAAAAGCCGAGGAGCACGACGAATACACTAACAACCAACCATCGCCCCCCGAGCTACCTATATTTTAACATTTCCAACGAATATTTCTTTTTATTGGTTCAAGTATAAGCCTCTAACGACGCGAGATGTTCACTGGACACGTGTGGATTCAACACCAGCTGGCACCCCATGGGCTGAACTCATCAAATTCTGTATCGCAAGGACAAAGTATTCCACTGACTGCATCGGGATTCTTCTGCGTGAGGTGAGTGCACAGTTTGCTGGAATGCATACAGTGTTGTATCTCTTGGTATTTGGAATACTTTTTCCATGGTTAGCTAGGGTCCGATTCCGTTTCGCGATACCAAAGCCACTCTCACTCAATTATTATCTTGGGTTTCATTTTTCAACCTGAATTTCTGCAGCTAGTTTCATTGATAATTTCTAACCCGTTGTGAGGTGGCCAACTATTTTCCATCCATCATAAAGCCTCTCAATCCATACAGATAGGTCGGTTTCTGTTTTAAGGTGATTATAGTTAATGTACTCCATGTTCAATTCGTTCGAGTTGTTGGCCACTGGACAGAAGTCTTTCCTCCTGAGAATCGGACGTTTCTGATCCTCTAGCTAACTGTTCATTGTCAAGACAAACGTGAGTGCGCCGTGCCCATTCATTTCGAGGAACTGAAGATAACCAATTCAGTAGTTTTGATGAGTTGACATCAGAATCGCATTCTCAGGCTTCATTTGTTCACCCAGGTTAGAAGAAATTCACTCTTGCGTGAGTGCGTAGCTTATCAGAGTTCGGATACTCAAGAGAGCACAATTTCTTTTGGTGAAGATTTCGTCCTGTAAGTGAAGCCGGTCTATGCTGAAAAGCCGAGGAGCACTGGACAGCTGTTTCATCCTTACTAGGGACCGTCAGCAGCGTGCCCACGAAAATCCACAGTCTCGAAGCCGTGCTACTAGTTTGAACTTTTCTAAACTTTTAAGCATAAATTAACTTCACTTCCTGGACGAAATCTCCACCAAAATTCCAAGATCTTCTCACAATAACAGAATCATATCTCTCGAGCTTGAGGTCGATATGAATGGTGGTGTTTGTCACATGGTACTCGGCCATGATATTTGGTTTCGGAACTGTCATAATGTGGCAGGTGGAAAGTGAAATCAAATGATTTGTAAGACCTCTGAAAGTCACTTAAAGTGGTGAAAAAAGGTTTGGGAAGATTTCAGTGGGGAAAAACGATGATAGGTTGAGTTTCGGTCAAACTGAACCGCCTTGCTCTTCTTTTTCTAAATTTGTGTTTCTATCCTGTCTGCAGTCTTGGACAACCATCGCCTCGTGTTATGACCATCCTTACTTCCTGTGTTAATTCGTCTTCAGTAATTCGCTTTTTCGATCTGTCACGTCCACATTCCGCAACACTTCGGAAGTTGACTACATTTAGTTGCAATTACGTATGGTTTAACAGACGCCGACATTCAAGCCAATTGCATTCTTAGTCTTTGACAGTGGCTTAGTCCACTTCCGTTAGTCACCTGAGATGGTCCCACTTAGTTGATCAGGGGCCTCAACTGGGGTGTTACATTTCTGCTCGCTGTGGAGTCTGTAGGAGATACGTATATCCCATATCGAAAGAGATGTCGGAAACTCACTGGAACTGTTAGGTGATGCCGGCGACGATCAGTGAATACTGCTTTTGGCATTCTTTGTTTATTTATGCTTTTCCGATTGGTCTTTCATATACATGCATTAAGTTCTCTTCACTAATTTTAGTAAGACAAGGAAATGAAAGTAACGTGAATTATGCCATTTCGCTTGCTTTACTACCCTTGCTTAAATTCTGTGCGCCAATCTGTCGTCCTGTGACAACCTAAATCGTCTTCTATTTTAATTTGCTGAACGCGCAGTTATTGGATGGTTTAAGCGATGTCTGCTGAATACTCGGACAGTGGTCCCTCTAGTCTTGTCCTGACGTATCTTCATTACTGCCCCGGTTTTATTTTTTTAGCGTGAATTTTGGCTGCTTTTCAGCGTTATCATGATTTATTCGAGCGTTGTGTTTTTGTGTCTTAACATATTCAAATGTCTTGCCTGTTCAAGCTCAGACGGGAGAACGTAAATGAATTCACTTTATTTTACTGGAGTGTTGCTTCTTATATTACAATTTGTGCACAAATGAAATAAGATGGTTTTATTAAACACTAAATCGCGTTTTCCAACTCACCAAGTTAAGTTATTTTGTGCATTGTCCAACTTCGTCTCAGGTCGCATAATTGACGTCGACACGAGTTGAGGATCTACCATTCACGATCCCCCTTTGCAAAGTCATGGTCAGATTGTGGAAAGCTTAGCTATTGAGACTCACTTGAACCTATCAGGCGCGTATACAGAGGTCGAGATGGCTCAGTGGTTAGAGAGCGAATTTACTTACCGGAAGGTCCGTGGTTCGGACCCCACCTGTGCATCTGTACTTCCCCTGTCTAGGCTTGGGCAACCTGGCAGTATCCCAGACCTCGTGCTTCCTTCTGGTGGCGTGGCTGCTAGACACCGAAAGGGTGCTACAGCTGAACGTACTACTACTACTACTACACTATCATTTATTTGTGAAGAGCATGGTCACAAACATAAAAAGTGAGTGCAAGCGATGAATGCGAAAGGGTAACAGGAGAATATGGGAGAAAAGAGGGAAACGTCTCATTCGAGATCATGCCAAGGGCAGTGCCAGTCTGATGAGGTGAATCCCAAAGTATGTAAAGATATTTGTATGGGAACACGCGTCTAAAGACCAACAACCAAAGAAAGGACAGACAATGGTGAATGCTCTTCCAGGCGCAGTGTGCGCTACGACTTTGGTAACCCGTTCGTATTCCTCTCATGTTTCAGTGGACGTGTTACTCTCGGATGAGTGTGACCATAGTGTGTCATAGAACTTCACAAAGATCGTTTAGCTGACATGATCTTCATCGTAGTTAGTGACACGGTTGATGCTTTACTACCATAAAACTAGGCCATAATCAGCAGTGGATGGAAAGAGAAGAGATTATGGATTACTGTAAAAACCTCTGTCTCTAGAGACTAGGGCCTAGAGCAAGGTACTTTCCAAAACAGTTGAAACAAACACTTCGGAGCATCGCGTTGGGCCAACACGCCATCAGTTGAAAAGTAATTAATCGTTCAGCTGTAATACCGAGGACTGGAGATACTGTCAGGTCTCTCAAGCCTAAACAGGGACACTCAAGATGCTGAGGTTGGGTTCGCACACCGTCCTTCTGGTCAGTAGGTTTGCGCCCTACCTATTAAGCTATCTCGAATTCCACCAGCTAAATTGACCTAGAATCCTTCACGAACTTCGCCTAACACGATTCCAGCACAGTGACAAACAAGAGTTAGCTGCAGCCGCCAAAATAAGTAAACTTACCAATGATCTGGAAATTCTTTCTCTGGAGTTTCAAAGGTCAGTGAGAAACTCTGAGGTTTGGTGTTGGGCTTTGAAGTTTCATGGCATATGCCGAAACAGGGGGCCAGTTACGGTACTCTATTTAGAATATTTTATTTGGACACATGGTTGTCAACCAACGTCCGCATAACTCAGGTTTACTTATTTTTCCCTAGATGTGATTTCAACACCTAGATTTATGGTATCAATATTAAGTTGAAAAAGTTGAGGAAGTCAACCCTGTTAAACCCTACTGGTTGTGGGCAAGCTTTTGTGTACCTCGTTGTAACTTGTAGCACGACCGGAATCATAAAAACCCCGTACGTTCATGCCAGAATTTCCAGCTAGTCCAGTTACAATCGGAAGATTGCGGTAGAGCAGTTTCACTCTTTGTTTCTGAAGTGACTACAAAACGGACAAGCTAGGAGTTTCTTTATCATGGCAAATCGTGAAGTTCAACCAGACAAATGTGAACTTACTGTAACCCCCAGAATTGTATATAGACTGACTATCTTTCGAAAGCAGTAAACCTCGTTACTATTCTTCGGTGTGAACTTGGACGCCTGCCGTGAACTGACCGTTAAACAATACGGGCTTGGGATTCAGTTGTTCTAGTTGGTTGTGGTTGTTCCTGTTTGTGCTCACATCACTGAACGTATAAATATCCGGCCCCTGTTTTTTTAGATGCGTTCCCTGTGTTCCCAGCCAGACGGACCACCTTGTCTAGTCATAATCGATGGCGTGAATTTTCTTTGGTGCCGTGGGACATTGTTGAAGGATAAGGCATTACAGTGCCGGGTCACTGTGGACCGCCTTGCAATTGTACACCACCTACGACGTGCTCTTCAAGCTGATTGGCGACATGGAGCGATTTTGACATCACTGAATATCAGAGCTGCCTGGCCAACGGATCGAGAGAAATACACCCCTGGGTACGCTCAATTGCCCGTTTCTCCACTTTCTCAGTTTTCTCATGATGTATCCTATTATTCATGCTCATTAGCCATCATTCGTCTCCGATGTTATGCACCTGCGTAGATCCATATATCAATACTCTCATCTTCTGAAGAATGGTTTTATCACCCAAATTACCACACTCTTGTAATATAGATGGGCCTCTCTGAGTGGGTAGTGGGAGTGGACCTTTGGTTTCGTAAACGGTACAAAAGTAATGGGAACATCGAATCAGTACTGTAAAACTGTGCTAACTAGTTATGAGGAGGAGGATCTATATCAAGTAGATGCACTGTATGGGTAACGGTGGTGAGGCTGTGTCTCACGAAACCGTCTATATTGTCATGCTCTGTAAGCCATGTACTGTAATGTAGATAATAGACTTCAACACTAGAGTTTGATTGAGCGGCTGGGGAACGGAGTCACATTGCTCGCCATCGCCTCTTTCCAGATAGGGCACAAATGTTAGATGTACCGAGTTTCATGATCCAGCCAACCTGACACTGCCAAACAATGATGAGATTCATGGAACTGTTAAAAGCTTGGGTTGGACACCATGATTATGTAGCAAGAGGACGTAGTTTGTACAAAATAGGCTTCTTGTCTTCCTTCATTATTCGATATCCAGACTGATCAGTCGCGTCGCATGCTTTCTTGGATGCCTAGGAGACCTTTGATTCACAAGTGATACGTGTGCTATTATTCTTGGCTTGTTTACGGTCCTCACCCAGGGTCTTCTGTAGGTTTGTGAATTTGAATGTGAACTTCACATTTTGGAATGGCAATGTTCTGTTCATCAAACATTTGTTAGTTCTGTTTTTCCTGATTCTAGTAACTCTAAGATCCCAGACGTTCAGTGGCCATCACACTAGATCACTTACCATGCTCAGGCCTATTCCATATGTAGGGCCCATCATAACACTATCGATTTGTCTGTGATTGGATTACAACATATGCAATAACTAAAACGTCTTGTTTTTTGTTTTCAGATATTTGCTTGGGAAAGATGGCTTTGAATACATGGACCCATTTATTCCCGTCCCGGTAGAGAACTACACTTCAACCGAAGTCGATGCATGTCTACGATTCTACGCTGAAAACCACTGGCTTACCAATCCTGCGGCTCATACACCGGCCGGCCGTGCAGAAATAGTATTTCTCGCTGACAGCAATCCGTTGGAACTAGGTCGGGTGGTTGCTGAGTGGTGATCACGGTTCTATCTTAGAACCGATTCAGCTTGAATTCTGTACATAGTAATATACTTTCAGTTCAGACTAATTGCGTTCTCTCCTCTCTTGTGGTATTTGAACATCTTAATTCATCAGAGTATGAATTTACTCTCCAGATTTGCCTCCGTTGCATTGTGGGATAATTCAGTGGACCTAGGCTGTTGGATATGCCATCTTTAGACTAAATACCGCTCGCGGAAGAAAAATAACTCCAATGCGGCGCTCCTTTTGTTGTGCTGCAAGATGTTGATAGGTTACACACATTTGAACTCCTGGAGAAAATTCCGGTGACCACTCGGACTATCTTTTTTCTGCTGGAAAACGTTAGTTGTTGGGACTGGCATGCTTAGAAGTTTTGACGACGAACAAATTCAGCTGAAGATCATTTTATTGGTTTGCGCTTGTCTACTTTGCGATGTAACCGCTACCATCATCCGCGTGATTTATGAGACCATGTATCCGTCTTGTGAAGTGACCACAGCTCGGCTTTTTCCAGGTTGGTGGTAAGTTTATTCTTTCTTGGGTCCCTCCGTCAATTATATTTTGCTGCGATCGTGAACTTTTGGATTCAGTTTAGATAGGAAGAACGCCACATGTGGGACAACTTGAAATCGGTCAGTTGAGCCGAAAACCTTTTCTTGGCTTGGCAGCCAAGGGACAACCGAACCCTGTTGCTTCAGCGTAGTTTGTCCTGAAAAATCCGTGAAATTAGTTTTTGAAACATTAAAAATTTGTGCGCACTGTCCGTGTGGTAAATGATCGGTGGATTCTTCCACATTCACTTCCAGCCTATCGATAGACATGCTGGATACTTTGTTGTTCGTTAACTCTAGTTGGCCATTCTTAAATTTTAGCAACAGCTCGTGGAGAACTGGGATTTCTCCGTCTAGGTGTTTTTGTGTCATCAGCTAACCTCAGCGAAATTGATAAGTCGTGACTGTTGTCTGCTGAGAAATAAAGCATCCTCACAAATCGCTTGAGGAGCCAGTGGAGTTGCTACTGCCTATTGTATATACTATGATTGAAGGGTGAATGGCATTATGTCCTGTCTAAGTGCGAGTGTATCGCACTACTGAACAACCGGGTCGTAGGTTTATGGGATGTGCATTACCGATACTTTCCAACCTGAACACGCAGTTGTTTTTTGCTGTCTGGTTGCCCAGTGTAGACCGGTTTCACCTGCAAGGTGGCAGTTAATCCGTTCATCGAGCTTGGTTTTGCGTTGCAAGCATTTCGTCACTATAGACAGTGCGTGATTTAGTCAATAGTCCTTGCACCTCTACTTGCGTTTAAACAGTATTTAAAGTGCATTTAATATTTTTGGCGTGATTGGTTGTTTGGGGATCGGTTACTACGTGATTTGACTTGGCTGTTTGGAGTTTTTATTGCGTTTTGGTCCAATTTTGCGGGTCTTGATCGGTTCATAAAGTACCGTGCTCTTTTCTGCAATCTCCATATTTCTTGCTAGGTCCAGTGATTTATCGGTTTGCATTCGGTTCGTATGTGCGTTTCAGTGCTCTTGGTTTTATCCGCTACATGTCGTGTTCTCCTAATGCCTTCTGTTGGGCTTGTACTTTTTTGAGCCTGGGTGTTCCGGCATTCATTGTTCCTAAGGGGTTCGTAAATCTCTGTTACAGTTTCCAGAATCATGACAGTCTGTTCTTGCTCTTTTAGGGATTTTAGTTTGCACGTTGATTGACCTTTTCAACGCCGTCTATTTTCTCGGGGAGGTGGAAACAAATTTTTTGCCCACAGGAAGATGAATACTAGCGTACCCAATTTGGATCCATATAGACGTGATTTTAGTAAAGTATTTGAACGCTCCTACTTAATGGTCCTCACTAAGCGCGAGCGTTTTGACCATATCTGTTGCCTTTAATTCCGTCCTTGTAGATGTTCCTTTCTGAACGGAAACAGCTGTACGCAAACTCTGCAATGGAATTCATCGCTTGAAAGACATCCGCTGACTGTGTGATGTCCGTGAAGCTCTCTGTGATTCCATAGATATGGGCATGTTGGTGGTCCTTTCTCTAAGGAAGTGAGGTCAGCTGTAGAATCCGACCGCCCATAATTGACCGTGATCCTTGACGGAAAATCGAATGCTGTTGAAGTACAACTAAAACCTGCCAAGAGCCCGATGTGACTCGAAACAGATTTGCAATGGGCAGTAGTATTTGGAACGAGAGAGCTATGCTTCATTCCTTGCCTTCTTGGACTAGGCTACTCACCTCCAATCCATTGGATCAGACTATTCTATCCTTCGCTCTGGGCAGGGTCATCCAAGAAAACTTACTACCCCCGCCTTACGCCTTACACACAGAACTTCAATCAAGGCAGCTAGGCAGTATCATTCCCCTTACAGTTCTTTGTCCCTTCATAAATTATTTCTGCTCTGCAAGCTACTGTGCCTTATCCAGCCGGCTGCTCATTTGTTAAGCCAAAATAACGCCCTACTTATCTCACGAGATGTTGAATTGTAGTTCTTCGCGATCGTACTCTGTCGTACTTGCAGATAGGCAAACTCGTTCGGTCCTGATGTTCTGTTCCTATTCTGTGTCTACGAAACGCATACCTGACGTGTGGCTGGACATGCCTCTTAAAGTATCCTGAACGCGCTCAGCCTTTTCACATTTTATTCCCGGGCATGTGACAATCCTAAGCCGATGGCTGGTGTTATATTTGGCTCCAGGATGGCACTCAGCCCTCGTGCTGAACGCGCTTCGTTAGACTAGGTTTTACTGTTCCGTCGTCTCTACGCCAAATTCGACAAAAACCGGTGCCTGTTTGTAGTGTCAGCGTATTGTTCGATAGACTGCAGCTGTGACGCTGGAAAGAACACTCCTTAGTAATATCTAATCGGAACAAGTAGTCAAGCAATAGGCAACTGCATTGCTGTGTCTGTAGGTGATATGAACTGCCAACTTGGTCTTCAGACTTCCGTCTTTGCGGCTGATTCGGGTCGAGTCCCGCGGCGCTCATTGTGTAATCTGGCGGTGTTTTCCCTGAAATCGTCTAGTGATCCTGCCTGTTTGTAAAATGTATGTGTAATAACGTTATCTGGAAAGCAAAGCCTGCATAATCGTATTAACCTTGGCTTCATGTTGGACTAGACCTCGAATAAAGAAAGCAGTTGGAAACAGCTCAGGCGCTTCAGAATGGTTTTTTTATTAGGATAGACTAATGCACTCAATCAGAGGCTACTAGAAGATGATGCGTGTGTTTCCAATCAGGGAGGGGATTAATTCGAGTACTAAGGTCGCAGGCTGATTGCGTGGCTGTATGTTATCCCCTGGCTAATTAAAATACAGGAATTGATTGGGCCACAGAATGCAATGTACTTCAGCCAAATGTTTTTGAGGTTCTGTTGGTTACGACTTCTGAGGTATTGGCCGTTTTTACTATATCTTCCCCAATGGTAGCTTCAATCTAACCTCTAAGATAACGGTGAATCCTGTTGGTGTTCAGTGTCAGTACTGCACTATCAACAGCTTTTAAAGCATCTTTTTTCAGTCAGAAAAGCATACATTTAAACCAGGTTCTCATCTTGCGATCGATAAAGCAAGTCGAGAGAAGAAATAAATGTCCTGTTGTGGAATTTCGCGAAAAGAATCGTTTTAGATTTACGCAGTGGTTCCTCTCGGGAACTCATTTCGAATAATGTTCACGCTTGTTAGAGAAAACACGTCATATCGGTCACCACTAAATAAACGAAAGATACTCCTATATGAATATCAGAAGTTGGTAATTTTTCATCGTCTGATCCCCAGCAGGGACTGATTCTTCTACAACGTCTG